GGGCCTCAAGGCGGCCACCCCTTATAGAGTTACCATCTACGGGGTGATCCGGGGCCATAGGACACCGGTGCTCTCTGCCGAGGCCTCCACAGGTATCTCTCTCTCACCCTTCCGTTTCTAGCTTCTGTTGTCCCTAACAGGAAACTACCCACGGATCATCAGACACAACTCACTTTTGAATGGACTTCTTCTGCCCCAAGTTACAGCGCTGTGGTGTCTAATAAAGGGGAGCCGTCAGGCTGTATGACTCCAGGGGCACCTTTGACATCGCACCCCCTGTGAACAACACCCTTTGGGGCTGTGCAGAGCCCTGCCTGGGGGCTCTCCACACAGCCCCAGTGGCAGGGCTCTTTAGCTTCGCAAACAGACTCCCTCCTGGTAAGGGATGTGAAGGCATTCTATTTAAAAGGAAAAGAAAAATCAGAAAATTAATCTCCCTGCCCACTGAAGGTTGGGGCAATTCTTGAATAAAATAAGATGACAAATATTTTTCTATACCTCATGTTCTTGGCCCTATTTCTCGAATTCAGGAAGCTGCATGATGCATGTTTATCTAAAGACAGTCCTGTATTTTTAAGTAATCTAAAGCCTACTCTGGTGTCCAAGATTCCCTGACTCTTGCTGTGTGATTTGATCATTAAACTCGTTCTTTGTCCTTCTCCAGGGGAACCTCCCAGTTTGGGAGAGGTCACGGTGTCCAAGGTGGGCTGGGATGCCCTCAAACTCAACTGGACTGCTCCGGAAGGAGCCTATGAACAGTTTTTCATTCAGGTGCAGGAGACTGACGCGGAAGAGGCAGCCCAGAACCTCACAGTCCCGGGAGGACTGAGGTCCGTGGACCTGCCTGGGCTCAAAGCAGCCACTCATTATAGCGTCACCATCCATGGGGTCACGCAGGACTTCAGCACGACTCCTCTCTCTGTTGAAGTCTTGACAGGTATTCCAGACTAGCTCATTACTCTGCTTCCTCCCTGTGTCTCTGCTTGGGACGGATCAAACTCTTCCTGCTCTAAGCTGGCTCAGCCCCAGCTCCACTGGGGAACACCGGTGAATCATCCCTGCTTCCCTCCAAATGTCATATCCCTTATTTGGCCAAGTCCTAGTCTAGCATGGTAGCCAATTCCATGGAAAATTCCACCTACCCTCCCCTTACAAAAGTGAGAGGTGACTTTTCTTTCAAAGCAAGTTTCAGTCATAATAGCCGAGGAGTTGGAAAGCGCAGTTTGCAAGTGGAAAAAAAGTGGTCTGAGCTCATTTTAAGAACACACCAAGATTCCCCAAAGCCCCATTTATATGTTAAGAATGGAAGTTATGAACAATTCCTAGAACTATCTTTCATTCCCAGAGACTGAAGAGAAAAACCCTGGCTTTTAGTGCCAACAGTCAGAGTGTGCTCAACACCTGCTATAGATCACGCATCTGTAATCAACACTAACCAGACAACTCGTCCCAACCCCAGCCAAAGTGTCATCTTACCTGAACCCCGGCATGCAATTACCTTTTTTAGTAACTCAGCTACTCTGTGTCCTCATGCAGAGGAGGTTCCAGATCTGGGAAACCTCACAGTGACCGCGGTCCACTGGGATGGCCTCAGTCTGGACTGGACCGCCCCCGATGGGATCTATGAGCAGTTTATCATTGAGATCCAGGAGGCTGACCAGGCCAAGGAAGCTCACAGTCTCACGGTTCCTGGCAGCCTGCGCTCTGTGGACATCCCGGGCCTCAGGGCCGGAACTCCTTACACGGCCACCCTGCATGGCCAGGTCAGAGGCCGCAGCACTCCACCCCTTGTTGTGGAGGCCGTCACAGGTATAGGACCCTCCTCCCACACCAGGGACGTGACTGAGCCAACCTCTCTTTGGAATCGAGAACATTCCCCATGCGTCCGAGTTTTATCCCAATATTCCTGACAGGCCATGCGAAAGCAAGTTTGAACTCAGGGAGGTCTGGGTTGGAATTTCACTTTCCTGGCTGGATGTTCTTGGGTCTGTCGTTTGACATTTCTTTTGACATTTGAGCCTTCTTTTTTCACCTTCAGTTAGGAGATAATACCCCACCTCAGAACATTGTCCTGAGCAGTGAATGAAACCATGACCAAAAGTGCTTAGCAAAGGCTCCCATCCTGTGGTAAATACTGAACAGCAAATAGGTAAATATATCAGGTAGCAACGTAGCCTAATGAAAATAGCAGAAACAGTAGGGCTGTGGCACAAGAATAAGGTCAGAACTTTCTAGAGAAATCTTATCACGAGTGGCCTCAGAGTCACTGACTGCCGTCCAACTTGTAGTACATCACTATGGAATAAGCTTTGAAGTAATCTGGCCATCTTCAGCCGAAACTGTCCAAGTCTCTCTCCCCTTAACAGATACTCAGGGCAGCAAGCATATTTCCAAGAAAGAACAGCCACATTTGACTTCAATGTTTTTCATTCAGTTTGGGGAGGAAAAACAATTTATCCCAATTTGTCCCCTGGAAATAATGCTGTTCCATCTGTTATAGGAAATGCTATGCTGTTTGTGAGGTGTTAAGAAACAGCCTTAAAAAGGGCAAATGGACCAAATTTTTGGTAGGGTTTTTATGCTGGGCCCTCAGTCCATGCCCTTCTCTATACATCCTGTGTTTTGATAATACCATCCAAATAACCTAATTCAAATAAATTGTTGTTCTTGCTTGCATATACCAAGTAAATTTGGTCCTTGCTAGAAACTACACACAATTCCAAAAATGAGAAAAGCGATGTTGCAATCCACCAAAGCAAAAGGGGCTTTTGAGGCCCATGTGATCTGGATGCGGGATGCTATGGGTCTCTACCTATGGGATGTAAACTTTTGTTTTGAGCAACAGAACTCCTTTTGCCCCACTCCATGACAGGTAAATGGACAGCTCTTCTTGGTGAGCTAGGGAGGCAGAGGGGACTTACTGCACTGATACCCCCAAAAGCACCAAAGTCATGTGGTACAGCTTGAATCAGCTCCTCTAACAGGCTGAGTTTGCTCAGACTCTCACAGTACACTGAGTCCTGAAATACCTGAGAATAAGTACCTCGGGCGCACTTTTTTTGTGGCTGAAGTCCCTTCAGATACTTCCTTTTCTAACTTCGAATCCATGGCCCCTTCAGCCTGTTAAAAGAGAAAAGTCTGAGATTGCATTTAATCCTGAGAGGTGTTCCACTAAGCAGTGGGTTTTGCCATGTTCAGAATCCAGACTTAAATCAGCAAAAAGAACTACGTTAAATTTCCTTCCTACGTGGTAGAAAGATAAATAGTGGGCCCTGCTCTGCACCATTTACCGAGCAAAACATAATCACTTTTAATTAAAAGTGGGCACTCATCTTGTACAAATGGCTTTGCTTCACGGTACAGACGTTCTTCATCCAGGCACAGAGTACTTCGCAGAAGGTGGGAGGGAAAGAACCGAGCCAAGAATCCAGCACAGAACATTTGATCCCTGAAAGCAGAGTAAAGTCCAGAGATAAAACAGCAGACTTGTCCAGACTGAGACAGCGTACACTTTATAAAGCCAGTCCGATAGTAGGTGGCCCGCAATAAGACAGTCCCTCCAACGTAAAGTCATGAAAGAGGCAGATAATTGTCTCCAATATGGCTGAGAAGTGCCAAGGGGAAGCATCTAAACAATGATGTATTTGTTGGGCTGCCACTTACTGGGCACTCACTGTGGGTCAGGTATGACGCTCCGGGGTTTATAAATGGTATTTAGCCATCACCCGGTCCAATGATAGGGCACTGTCAGCTCCCTATATAGGTGAGGAGAGTGAGACTCGGGAACGAGCTGGGTGATAGGTTCAAGACTACCCGGGTGATAAATATTGTTGGAATTCCAACCAAGGCCCAGCTGCCTGCAAAGCCTGCACTTTTAACCGTCCCTACCCCCCTTACCCTGACCCACAATCCCACTTTTCCAGCTGCCCTTTAGGTTCTGGCCATGCATGCCCAGAGACCTCCCAGGTGGGCTATTCAGTGGTCCGCCAGATAGCATTGCCATCTCAAGGATGAACCATGAGGATCTTCCCCTTTCTGACCATTTTCAACTCCTGAAGAAAGCTGTGGCCAGGTCACAGCCGTTCAAGCTGGAAATAAACGCCCAGAGGCCAAGAAGGACCACACATGCCCACAAAAATTCTCACGCCTCTTTCTGTCTTCCCTAGAGCTGGGTTGTGGGACGTTTGGTTTCCTCCTTTTGTGGTTTGCGGAACTGACAAATACCTCTCTGTCCTTCTTCAGAGGAGCTCCCCCAGCTGGGGGACTTAACCGTGACCGAGGCTGGCTGGGATGGCCTCAAACTCAACTGGACCGCAGCTGACCAGGCCTATGAGCACTTTGTCATTCAGGTGCAGGAGACCAACAGGATGGAGGCAGCTCAGAACCTCACGGTTCCCGGCAGCCTGCGGGCTGTGGACGTCCCGGGCCTCAAGGCGGCCACCCCTTATAGAGTTACCATCTACGGGGTGATCCGGGGCCATAGGACACCGGTGCTCTCTGCCGAGGCCTCCACAGGTACCCTCCTCCCTACTGCCGATGCCCCTCCCCAAGCCGCCCTGCTTCCTCTCCAAGGGACTGTGCAGAAAGTCAGCTTTTCTCTACGTCTGAGTCCTTCCCTTCTGTTGCTTAGTGGCTGGCGTGCATGCTCAGAGACGTCCCTGTGAACTGTGCCTTGGTCTACAAGCCTCTGCCATTTCGAAAATGAATGATAGAGATGTTGCCTTTTCTGACCTCCAGCCTTCAGCCTCTCTCAGCCTTTACCTAGTCCTACCACCCCTCTCTTTCTGAATGATGGCTTTCTGTTCCGGGAGACAGCTGGATGGTTTTAATTCTCTTCTCCAGGGCTGGAATATAACTAAAAGCCGCCCCCTGCCACGTGTGAGTTCTGGTTGAGCACAGATTATTTACTTTAGAGAGTCCTTTTGCTAGTTGGAAATGGTGCTTTACTATCCCAAATCCCTCAAGGGTATGTATGGGCACTGTGGTTCTTGCATTTAAAAGAAATGTTTTAATTTAAATGTTTCTTTAAAATGCGCTGAGTATAATGAGAGAACTGAATTACCCTCCTCTGGGCAGTTCTCTCAGATACTGAGTCATTGTTAGAACATCAAATTAGCAAATAGCTAGACCAAAAAGGAAAAAAAAAAAAATCGCACAATTATGACTGGAGACAGTACCAAAGAAGAAACCATTCATTAGAAGTCCACACAGCAGCATTTGAAGTAAGGAACGTCCCAGGCGATGCATGTCAAATCTCTGATGCCCTTTTTGCTCTTTTAATCAAGAGGTGCTCCCTGGAGGGTTGGCCTTGGCGTAGCACACTCCCAGCGCCAACCCAGGACCCTGCGTTAAACTTGACCTGTCCCTCGGCTCCAGCAGCAAGGCATTCAGAAGCCCCCAGGAGCCTGCTACAGTGAGCAGCCTTCCCCAGCGCTGTTTCCCATTTCTTCCCTTCCTACATGCCTCCCCTGGGTGGACGCTCAGCAGAGCTGTCGTGTTTGGTTCTGCAGGGGCCTGCCCCACTTTTAGATGATTACTACAACTAAACTTCCATACAAACCCATACAACAACCTCCTTGATCCTAGCAAAAGCATAGCTCTGCATTTTAGCCTTGATCATTTCAATCATTCTGGCCGAGATAAACATAATACGGACAGCCACTGTATGAATGATGACCTTGAAATGCCCAGAAATTGCAACTGAGGTGCCCTGGATGGACCCAGGGCCCTTTGATCTGACATAGGGATCATAAATCATCCCTTCCCAGAAGGCAAGAGAAATCACCTGCCATTTCTGATCTTTCCTGCAGATCTTGTGGTTTGGGTGCCCTTAGTACTTGTGTGTGTGTGTGTTTCTTTTTAATGATAGCAACAGTCTTGTTTCTGATGAATTGGTAGGAGGGGAGAAGGGTCGTGGTTCCATCTGATCTGTGTCTCACTACATCTGATGGGATGGGAAGGCCTTCTCCTTCCCTGCTAGAGAAGCAATACTAGCTCTTCCCACGCTGCTTCTGCCTGCCTTCTGCCTGTTTTATTCCTGCTGCATGACAAAGTGCTTGTGCACTGGTAGGACCGTCTCCCAGACAGAATGCTATCTCTTGGCCGAACAGGGTGACCTGAATGCCTTGCATCGGCTCAGCTCTCCTGGTTAGCCATGCAGTGGTGGCTTTCTTGGCCCACGTAGAAGCAGTTAAGAGAGGACGAGCTATTCCAACAGAATATGAAAACAGCCGGCCCTTGTCAGGAGTATGAAGACAATACCAAGAACCACACTGAGTTGCCGGTTTCCTTTAAGTCACAAAGGCAGAAGCCTCGAGGTACCACCTTGGGAGGGTAATGGCATCAGAGTTACTTAGTCCTCATTTAAATAGATGGGAGCTCCCTCAAAGCAAAGGATGACCCCAGGAGGGAGCCAACTTGGGGTCTCTTAAGTGCAATTCAAGAGACTGGGAGCTGCCAGCATGCCTATCTTTTGAGCAATGGCCAGCATCCCTGCGGTGGGGCTCCCTGGAGCATCTGAGCTTAGGCACCACAGTTCCTGCTGACATCATTTAGACGGCTTCTCACACGCAGGATCTCAGCCAGCCTGATCATGTAAGGCAGCTCCAGAGCAGGGAAATCCAACTGCGCAACCTTCCTCTTGGTCTTCTCCTGTTAACAAACGCCCCTCTTTCTTTCCCATCGGCACCGCTGGGTAACACCTGCTGCATTTCACCGTAACACTGAACCGGCAGATCCTTCTACCTAGCCGTGGTTCTATTAACAACCTCAGTCTTAAAACACAAGCCAAATCATTAACCCCCGATCTTTTTTCTTCTCTCCTACCCCCTTTTTCAGCCACAGGACCTGAAATTGGAAACTTAACTGTTTCTGACATAACTCCTGAGAGCTTCAATCTCTCCTGGACAGCCACCGATGGGGCCTTCGAGACCTTTACCATTGAAATTGTTGATTCCAATAGGTTCTTGGAGACGATGGAATATAATATCTCTGGTGCTGAACGAACTGCCCACATCTCAGGGCTACACCCTAATAATCATTTTGTTATCTACCTCTCGGGACTCGCTCCCAGCATCCGGACCCAAGTCATCAGTGCCATGGCCACCACAGGTACATCTGCTTTCTCCCATGTCTGACACCCTCTCTCCAGGTCTCCAGAATCTTCTTTGCAAGGCGAAGCCGCTCCTTCTCGCCCACTGAGGCACAAACCATAACGCATTGAACTCCTCCAGGATGCGAGGCTGGAGCACTGCTTAACATAACTCTCTTCCAACAGCAGCCCAAATGGTGGATTTCCATGAAGCCCCTTGCCTGATCTATTACTGACCAGGACATGTGCAGCCTTAAACGTAGTCTGGTCCAGATTGCCATATGGAGTCTGGAGAAAAAAATTCTGCCCTTCCATACCTAAAAAGCCAGAGTTGTCCTTGATTTGGAAAGATGTCTGCATCAGTCAAAGAGGTCTTAAAAATTATATTTTGTGTTACCCTAGTATCTGTGGCCTCTAAATACCCAAGGATCCCAGTGATTTAATGAAATTGTGTTGGTGCTTTTTTTTTTTTTTCAACTGAGAAAATTAAAAAAAAAAAAAGCAGATTACTAATCGGATGGGTGCACGAGGAAGTGGTACCATTCGGAACGCCCAGATTCCATCACGATCTCTGGGAGCAAAGACCTGAGCATGCTGTCTTGCCCCCAGAGAGTGAATGGTTGATTTCAAAAAGAGAAGTAGTCATGTTTAAATAAGGAACTTGGTCAACCAAGGCATAAGCTGCTCTTACTTAAATTTGTAGTGTCTGTGGTATACATACTACACGAGATGCTCTCTGGCATGCAGCAAAAGAGAATTCTCTATCTGAATTTAGAAAGGAGAAGCTTATCCATTCAAAATAGCATTCCTAGCACATTTTGGACAGTGAATCAGTGAATCCAAGAAAAGAGTTCCCATCATAGCATCAAAATCATCTATCACTTAAGCCACCCATGGCTGAGGGAGGGTCTGTCCTCGTTCTACGTGAGACTACAAATTGTCAGCCGGGTGATGGAGTGGTTGTCCCCGCCAGATTCAGTACACCGAGACCTAGGGAAGAAAACCACCAACCTCATCCATTCGTTTCTCTTGGTTCAAACTGGGCTTCAACACAGGACCAGTGCCTTTATCAAAGGATGAAGTCTAAAACTTTATGGATTTAATCTTACGTGTTTTGGTTTTTGACTCTGTAACCGTGTTTTAAACTGACGCGCTTTCATTATTATTTTTTTTTTCTGCTTGCTTTAGTAGCCGAACCTCTCCTTAGCCACCTCACTATCTCAAATGTGACCTGGGCCAGTGTGTCCCTCTCGTGGAAAGCCCAGGAGGCTACCTTTGATAGCTTTCTTATAGAAGTTAGGAATTCTGACCCCCGCCAGGAGACGGTGGTGCATTCTGTGCCCGCAGCATCTCGCAGCTCTGTCATCACCAACCTCAAACCTTCTTCTAATTACACTGCCCACCTTCACGGGCTGATGGGCGGGCACCGTGTTCAGACTCTGATGGCCCAGGCAACCACAGGTATTTCCCACGACGGCTTCTTCTCTCTCCATTAAACTTTCTCTGAGGATCATTCCAAAAAAAAAAAAAGAAAAATCACTCACTACCCATTTTTCATCCTCCTAGTTCCTCCAGATCGTTCTCAAATTTGATAGCGCCCCCCAAATCAGAGCCTTAAAACATAAAAAAAAAAAAGCTCTCACCCCAAATTAAGGAACTTCAATGTCAACCTCTTTTTCCTAAATAGGCACTCACATCAGGAGTTGCTGTGTGTTTGTATAGAGTTAACCTGACTTGCTTTGGTTGAATTTCTAAATCATCCTTCCATCTGATCTTGAATAATCGTTTCCAGTTCCACCCATTATCATCTGCCTGTGGTCTAATCAAAGTTTGCCTATGTCATATTCAAAGCGGTGCGTGCATGCCACTTTTCGTCCCCTGATCAGAATGTTCTACATCCTCTTTCTCTCCCCCAAGATTCCAAACAGCGGTGCCAGTAGCATGCAGAGAAAAAACCCTAACACACGTGAGAGGACCCGGTGGTCTCATCATGTTCTTGAGACTTCTATTTGCTTTCCTTCCCTACAAACAGACTGTTCTCCTTTGACATTTACCCTATGAAGCATGCTTTGTCATCTACTGACACCTATCACGAAATGTCAGTCTTCTTTCATCTGTCATCTTGTCCAAATCTTGGTGCATGTGGTGAACGTTCAGAGCATTAAATTTCTGAAAAGATCTGTGTTTCCTGGAAGTAGACAGCATGTCCAGGAATTGTTTTGAAGGGTCAGAACTGGGGAGGGAAAGATGTCCCAGCTTGCATGGAACACTGCTCCTACCTTCCCTCTCTGTCTCTCTGAGGTTCTTCTTGCTCCTCACTTTTCAGCTTGGCTGCAGCCTTTGGGAGACAGCTGGAGGTCAAGCTGGCCATGAGAATCCAGGTCTTACTCTGCATGGTGAATGTGTTCCCACTGCCAGTCTCTGTCCAGGGGCATGAGAAGAGTCCTAACATGCATCCTTACTTGGAGAGATTGCTCCCACAGCAAAATACAGGGAAAGAGCAAACAGAGGCCTATTTGGAGGGTTCTACCTTTAGTGTGGTTGAAGTAATTTGCCAACGTTGTGGCTAAAAATTATAGCATCATTAGCTTCTCAAATGAGTTGCTAAGGAGGAGATCCCGGGCTGTCCCTTACAGCTATATTCTGCTTCTGAGCCAGATCCGTGTTGCCCTTGGAGACTTTGTGGCGTCGAGTTATACTGTGCAATTGTCCAGTTAAAGTTTCTCCAGGTGAGCCCCTTCTTTCCTCCTAACCCTGGAGCTCCAGGCACACAACTCCCAAGTCCCTGGAGGAAATAGTCTGCTTCTCTTCCTAACCCTAAAGGCTGGCCCTGGTACCTCAAGCCTCCAGGACTGCTGCCTCTTTCTAAAATACAGTCGGAATTGAGCTTATTTTAGTGGTAGTATTACTTGATAAGTGTGCATTGAGGAGGTCAGACCATCTACATTCCAGCTGAAACTAGCGGTGCAGGCCCCCTACATTAAAAATGAGTTCCCTTCATCACCGATCTCCTAGTCCCTAAGGGAGAAGAGAAACTTAACCTCCAGGGGAGGTTAGCTGTCTTTGCTAATTAGCTATCTTTGCTAATTATCCAGTAAGTGAATTTCCTAGGCAGAAAATGCAACACCTAGCTAAATTTTCTTTTAACTTTTGCATACACCAGGAACGATTTCATGAAAGCCATTTTACCTTTGCTGTATTTAGGGTAGGATGCAGATTTCCCTATGGTGTATAAGAAACCTTTAGATTTCTAAATACTATGGAGAATTTCTCTTGTATGGATATTAGCCTTTAATTTGTACAATCCAAACAGATCAAAAGAAGACTAAGGAAACTTCAAAGTAACATTTTCTAAGCTGTGCTCAGTGGAGCACCAGCTCCTTGAGATGTTCAAAGAATATTTCTCAGAACAGGTATCCATTGATCAGAAAGTTTGTGAAATTCTGGCTACACAAAATTAAGTAGGTTTCTTTATAGAACCAGCATTTCAGAGGCTATAAAATGCTAACATGCTTTGTAAATCTCCAGGGTGAGATAGAATATCCATAAATACTTCACTATAAAGCTGTTTTTCTTAGAACATCTTACGGAGCTAATGGCCCACTGCAAACCTTAGAAATGCACCCTTAATATTCTATGTTACTCCTATCTACCATTTTAATGGCTTGTTCACTTGTCTTCATACATGGCCAGCAAATGGTCATGTCTGTCCTTGTAAAGAATGCACATCCATGCCTGCAGAGAAAGCAATGTATTCTCTAGCATTATAGTCAAGCAGCTGTAGCCACAGCCTGATACACTACGTTTCTGCAAATATTTGGAGGGATTGGCACTTTCATGTCCTATGGCTACATTCTGGGAAAATCCACTGCTTCCTCTAATCATGTCTCTCTCCTTCTCTTTCGCCCATGTCCCTTTCCCTTCAGAGCCAGAGCCACAGTTGGGCACGCTAATCCTTAGCAATGTTACTCCTGACAGCTTCAACGTGTCCTGGACCGCTCGAGCCGGGCCTTTTGCAAAGATTGTTGTCAATGTTAGCGATTCTCACTCGCTGTATGAGCCCCAGCAATTCACGGTCTCAGGAGACACACAGCACGCTCACGTCACGGGCTTGGTGGAGAACACTGGCTATGACGTTAGCGTGGCAGGGACCACCTCGGCTGGGGACCCCACCAGGCCCCTCACTGCCTTTGTCATGACAGGTACTCATTTAGAGGTTCTTGCTTGTCTGTTTAGAATTCTGAGATGGGGAGCAGGGGAAAGGTGACAGACATTCTAAAGGGAAATTCAACCCCAAACACAGTCTTCACCCCAGATGTAAATGTCTAAGTGAAGGGAGAGCAGATCCTATGGCAAAGATGGGTATTTCACAGCCCTTTGTGGGAAATGGAGACCGTGTATTCGACAGCTGCATGAAATCTCCAGGGATTTCCCTGCCTAGCTTTATGGGCTGATCCATATTTTAGTGATTCTGGCTGAAGAGTGAGTTCTAAGTAACAGCCAAGAGCGGGAATTTTGTCCATAAATCATGCTATGTAAGGCAGTTTATAAACTACCTGCCCCAGAAATGCAGTAATTTATCTTTTTCTTTAAAAAAAAAAAAAACTTTGTCTTAAATCAACATCTACAACAGATTACTGAAGGTTTGACCTAGGATAGCAGATAAATCCAAACTTAATTTAAGTTTACCCATTTATTGAATGTGACCTCTAACCTCTCTTTGAATTACGTAAGAATTGCATAAAGATGTGGCCTTCCATTCTCTTGCCTGAGATTATCCCAAATCAATGGCAAAGACTGCAAATGGTGTCGATTTACCAAATCTCTAGCCTGACAAACCTCAGGAAATATTTAGAAGTCTCTTGCCTTCCACTAATGATAATTTTCAGGAGACTGACTTTGCCTGCTGATTCTCACATTAAACCAGGCCTCTCCCAGCATCTAAACTGCTGCCAGTAAGATATGTTAATACGTTCAATTAAATATTTAATTGGAGGCAGCCGTGATGACCTCGAAGCGTGAGGGTTTTGATATCAGGCCTGAATGGTTTCTGATCTTCTCCCACATCTTTTTAGCTGCATAACCTTAGCTGGTGTTTAACTGCTCTGAATTCCAATTTCCTTATGAATGAAGAAAGGACACCCACAGCTACTTGGGGCAGCCCTTGTCTCAGGAATTAAATGGATGCAATGAACTTTAATGGCCTGGCATCCAGCAGGCATCTTACAGATGCTGGGTTCTTTCCATTTCCTAGCAATAGGAGGGGAGCTGTGTTCTGAAAAATAAGCCACAAGTCTAGACAGAAACTCAGCAACTGTTGTTATGAAACTATGACTTTCTTATGATTTTTAAGAGAACACGTACATGTTTTAATGGGAGACCAGAAAGTGGTTATATTTTCTGTCCCGTTGCCTCCTGTGAATTCAGTCGTTCAGACAAGTCTTCAAATGCAGAACATGCTCATTTCTGTGTGCGGCGGGGGAGGGAGCGGTGGGGACTTCCATTCTGTCCTGTCCCAAAGCCATGAGATGAGCAGGAGGGGAGGAATGGCTCCTGGTCAGTCAGGCCCTTACTTGTCGCCTTACCTCCAGCAGGACCTCCCACAGAACAGAGGAGAGAGGCAGGCTGGGAGTGCTGGTCTTGGGAATCCTAGATCTGGTTACAGCATTGTCTCAGCTAATTCTTGAAGTGAAAAGACCCTGAGTTTTAAAAGAAGCATATTTTTTAAAAAGGAAAAGAAAAAAAAAAAAAAGCTGAACATGAATGACTATAAATAACAAGCCCTTGATTGACTAATTAGCCTGAACGCCCTCCTTTTCATTGGAATCCACCGCTTTGATGGGGTGGTGGTGCAAAAGGCCTAGCTACCGAGAGAGGCGCCATTTATCTAAACAAAACTCAGCAACAGAACTTGAGACCCTTGTCTTGCAGACAGAGAAGCCTCTTTGCACAGGATATGCGATTTCATCTCTGCCTTTGATAGAGTTATGATTTGGGAGAGAGCCTTACATGGTAAAAAAAAAAAAAAAAGCCTCAAAACAAACAGCAAGTGTGTTAAATAAGTGCAGGTCCAAGCTACAACAAAATTTAAATCTCTGCTTCAGGAATGAGGGCATTCATTCACTTGTTCATTCAATCACCAAAATCTTTTTTTTAAACATTTTTCTTTACATCCCGTGGATTAGGCTCCGGGTATCAGTGTAAGGTCATTTATCTCTTTGAACGTTTCTATTTAGAAGCAGTGAAAAAGGCGCCTCTAAATGAGGTGGGGCTAAAGCAACCTTGGTCATGGAGTTCCCAGCCCCACGCCCCCTCCAGTGAAAACCACAGTCACCAATACCATGTTTTGTTCTGCTAGAGGCGCTGGGCCTTCTACACCAATCCTACTTAAGCCTCCAGACTTGCCAGCCCTGATGGAGTCGACTAATTAGACGTTGGCTCAGGGTGTGGAAAGAGCATTGAGCTTGGAATCAGATGGCCTGGGTGGGAGGCCAGCTTAGCCATCCAGTAGATGTGTGATCCTGGATAAGTTATTGACCTCCGTTTCCTTAGATGTCATGGGGGTGAGGGGACAGGTAACAATAGCTACTTCACAGTGTCATTTATATAGGAAAACGGATGTGAAGCCTAGTCAGTTGGGAAATAATGGCACTTAGAAACTTAAGTGATATAAGCTCAGTCCTTTTGGAAATCCCAGTGTGTGAAGACCCCTTGGCACCTAAGAAATAAGAGTGCCTGGGACACAGATGTTTGGTAAATGAATGAATACATGACAACAGAACTTGCTAAAGATCCAGACATGTCTTTAGCTCCTGACTTTATCCAGGAAAACAAACAGCCAAAGAATTAACAAATCCTAGTATTCCTTACTAGGCCACGACCATGATTTGTTAATTCTGACACATGAAAAAAATCTTACCCCCTCCCTCTAGTTCAGCTTATAAGGATATATGTCACTAATGGGCCTCATCAACTTGATTCAAAATGCGAACCAGAAGTGGGATAAACATATGAAGTATACCAAAAAGAAAGTACATATAAGTATATTTGGGAGGAAAAAAAGTTGATTTCCTTCAAGACCTTCAGAAGAAAGTGGGAGAGAGAAAGGGATCCAAAACCAACATAAGCTATCCAATTTTATAGGGAAAAATTCATGGCCTTTGGAGTAAGACCCAGCTAAAAACCTTGCTCTGTCACATCCTAGCTCTGTGACTTTGGCCAAACCAATCAACCTCTTTGAAACTCAGGGTGTTTTGCCAGCATAATGGGAGTAACGTCTATCGCATAGGCCTGTTGAGAGACTGACACGAGATATCATCTGGCGCCCAATAAGCTTTTACTAAATATTCATTTTCTCAGAATTTAACACATTTAGTGATTGATTGGGTATCTGTCGGTATTCGTGGAGACGTGTGCTATCTCAGCAGGGTCAGTGCTGCTAACCTGAGTTATTTTCACTCCTCCCTTCTTTCAGAGGCCCTGCCCCTTCTGGAAAACCTAACCATTTCCGACATTAATCCCTACGGGTTCACAGTTTCCTGGATGGCATCGAAGAATGCCTTTGACAGCTTCCTAGTAACGGTGGTGGATTCTGGGAAGCTGCTGGACCCCCAGGAATTCACACTTTCAGGAACCCAGAGGAAGCTGGAGCTTAGAGGCCTCATAACTGGCATTGGCTATGAGGTTATGGTCTCTGGCTTCACCCAAGGGCACCAAACCAAGCCCTTGAGGGCTGAGATTGTTACAGGTATTTGGATTCAAGTGAGCCATTTTCTCACCTCCTTGGTTCTCTTCCATGTAATCCATCTACCACATCACCATGGTTTTAACATCCTTGTCCATTTTCTCTATGTAACCCATAGATGTGGCCTGCTCTTTTGTGTTTCCCCCCACACTCTCCCTTGTCTTGTGTCTCTACTGAGCACTCCTCTTCTCCCACTCCAGAAATGAGAAGGTCGAAATGTTTGCCACTTGGCATCCCAAATCTTTCAGACCATGTCTTGTCCATAGTTGTTGTGTGCTTACTCCACATCATTCTCTTCCGTGTACATCCTGGCTGGTCCTCAGCTATGTTTCAGCCTTCTCAAAAGAAATATACCAATGAGTATATTTCAGAAACTTATTTTTTACAACATTTGCCATCTCAACATCTCAACTGTGGATCTTGATAAACTTACCAGGTGGGCTCGTTATTGGAAACCCAACTGCAAACTTATTATGTTGGTCAACACTAATGTCATAGAGATTCTTTGACACAGACTAAATCCATAATTTTCTCAAGACTAATAATAATTCCTTCAGACATATAGCATTAACAACTTTAACAGTTAAAAATCTGTGTTTCCCAAAGTCTTTCCAGATTTTACTAGTTCCGTAGGATATCCAAAGGTCCTGCTTGGTGAAGAAGTTCCATGTTCAAATCAGTTTGGAAACATAGTTTGATAGGATCCTTGACAAAAGGCTTTACAGAATATCCCAAAGTGCATGTGTCTCTCCTGAGAGGGACTCACCCAGGCAGTATTTCCCAAACTTATTTGACACCAGATACCTTTTAAGGAAGAAGAACAAACAGGAATAGTTTGCTCTGAGTACACTTTGGGAAACTCAGCTCTAAATTCACCTTGACAAATGAGTTTTGTCTAGTGAAGGCAATCCAAGATCATATACCTTGAGTCCAAAGTATGGAGCATAAGAGGTTCCAAGCCTCAGTTCTACCCTCTGGACTCAACAAAGTCAAGAGTAGGAGCCTTCTTGAGTACAACAGTTCCAAGAAAAACGCAAGAAGACCGTAACATTTGTAACATTTTAAAAGCCATTTTGCTCAGGATCAAGGGAAATATAATCAGCAGTATCATCATGGGCAACTCTACAGATCGTTAATACTGGTTTATTTGTCTTTTCAAAAAGAAAAGAAAAAGGTCTCACAGAGGCTGGGCACTCAGCCATTGGAAGAGAGCAAATGTAAACAAGTTACTGGCTTTGAACTTTGTTTAATAATGCATGGGAGGGGCCAAAGCGGAGTCCAGATGTGGATTTATAGAATTGCTTTTAGACAAAACTCACGTATGCAAGCATCCATTTGGCTTGTATTGGATGTGTGAATTCCATCTTTCCCTTCTCCTGGACCTACTTGTTTATGTTGAATGATTTTATTTTCGGGATCTCAGGACACTTCTGTCCTTGAGAGCCAGGGCCACTGCATACTGATAACCCCCCCTGCAGAAGAAGACTGCACGGGCTGGGAAATGATGTTCTCTCTCCTCCTCCCACCATGTTCTCCTCCTCTAGAAGCCGAGCCAGAGGTGGACAACCTTCTGGTTTCAGATGCCACCCCAGATGGTTTCCGTCTGTCCTGGACAGCTGATGAAGGGGTCTTCGACAATTTTGTTCTCAAAATCAGAGATACCAAAAAGCAGTCTGAGCCACTGGAAATAACACTACTTGCCCCCGAACGAACCAGGGACATAACTGGTCTCAGAGAGGCCACTGAGTATGAAATTGAACTCTATGGAATAAGCAGTGGAAAGCGATCCCAACCAGTCCGAGCCCTAGCAACCACAGGTACCGTACATAAACAGGAGAGAACCAAGAAAAGTCGTTGACTCGGGGGTCTTCTCTCACAGGGCTGGGAAATTGCAAGAGCTTTGAATGCAGCCAAGCTCTTTCAATTATAGACAGTGTGAGTGTGGATAATTTGGCTGAGTCTTTATGCCAGAGGACCCTGATGCCATTTATTTAATGGAGTTGTGAGGATTGAATGAGATAATTCATGGCAAGCCCATAGCAGAGGATCTGGTGCATAGCAAGGGCTTGGCAAATAAAAACTATTTAGAGTTGCATTATTTTCATTAATACATGATCATCATTACAGTTAGTGCAATTTTTAAATTCCAAAGACCCTTCTTTCGGCCTATTATCTTATCTTTTTTTTTTTTTTATGCAAAAGTACCTCTGGGCAAATGTTTGACCTTACAGTGTGCAGGGGATAATGGAGAAGTGGCACCTCCACCTAGAAAGAGGAATATTTATCAGCTGCTACGTGTGAATAATCAGTACCATGCTCAGGAAGGATCGAAGGAGGGGGCTGGCAAGGTCAAGGGCTGCTCTTCATAAAGCTCATGATTTTATACGATAGACATTCATAACAACTCTAAAAAGCACTGGAGGGGGAAGTGCAAACCCTTTTCCATATGAGTTGTTTCAAGGAGAAAAAAAAATTGATTGGTAATAGGACTCTTTAGAGGCAAAGACCTCTAACAGGTGTGGTGAATTCCTTCCTGAAACTAAGGGACAAGGAGAAACACAGCATTCCCTAGAGACAGACTGCTTCAAAGAGAAATCAGAAGAAAGAATCAAAGGTACAGGGAGAGGTAAAAGGGACTAAGAAAGGGTGTAGCCCAGCCTCCTCCGCTCGTGCAGGAAGAAGCTGAGGTCAGGTCCACAAAGATGTGATTTGCCTCCTGTCGCACGGCCAGGTTTGGTATAGAACCCAAATGTGGTTATTTTAATACTTATTTTAATACTATTTTATTATTTTAATACTTATTTTAATACTATTAAATGTAAGCAGGCTGGATGACAGATAACCAGTGAATGTACATACTTGCCGTCTCTGACGGGCATAGAGCACGTTAGCCAAAACCTTCTCTTTGTGCAGAGATGGGTATATTATCATGTCAAGTTGCAGGACACTGAGCTCAGAGAAGCCACCTAGAGAAACCGTAATCAGTGTCTGTGGGCGTGGAGGAAACGCTGAAGTGCAGAGGGCAGTCCAGTCAGAGGAAAAACCCTGTTTCTTATTAACTTGGACACCCTACCCCTGGGATGCGGGTCCTTGTCTCCTCCTCCCTGTGGCTGCCCATAAAACAACTTCAGATCACAGACGGAGCCTGATTTTGACCTTGGTTTATAAACACTGCCTTTCAAAGTTTACTTCTGATCACTGATTTTGTTTTGCCAATCTTTTTTGCCAGAGGCCCTGCAGTTCTAAAGCAAAAAAACAATGAATAATCAAGAGCCTTTTTTTTTTTTTTGTAAAAACAGAAAGAAAGAAAGGAAGGAAGGAAGGAAGAAAGAAAGAAAAAGAGAAAGGAAAGAAAAGAAAGAAAGACCCTGCTCTTTCAGCCTTTTCTTTGATTTCTTGTTTTGGGGCTTTGTATTTCACAGCCAGAGAGAAGCAAGAGTGTGTGTGTGTGCGCGTGCGTGCTTGCAGGTGCATGTATGTGCACATGCGTGTGCACATGTGTGCCTGCACCCCTTGCTCAGGTACTTGGAGAGGACAGGACAGGTGACTCCATTAGACAGCATATGTCTAATTCCACCGTCACCTCGTCAGTCTTATAAAGTTTCCCTCTTGTTTTTCCAACCTTCCTCCTCTTTCCTTCCCTGCGCAGTTGTAAACCCTTCTCTGAGATGTTCTGTTCCTCTTTATCCTCATAAAAGCTGCTGCAGGGTCTCCTTCACTCCCTGAGCACAGGCTGCCTGCCCTGAGGTGCCCAGGGCAGAGAGGCCAGTTAAGGGCAGTGCACCTGGTTGGTCTGGAGCCTCTGGGTAGACCCCTGGGAGTCCACGAGCCTTGTTCTACCAGCTGAGCGGCCTTGGGCAATTCTCCTTTCCTCTCTGAGCCTCAGTCCCCTCATCTGGCAAGTAGAATTTAACTCAGAATTCAGCCACGAGGTTTAAATAAGATAATGAATGTCAAGTACTTTGTTTCCTTGCCCATTGTAACAATATTAATTGTTACTATGTTTGGGTGTAAATTTTATTTTTTAATGGGCCACTCAGTTCAAAACTCAAAAATTAAAAAAAGACATATAGCAAAGTCTCTATTCAACTCTCTCCCTGCTCCCTAGTTGCTCTGTATACAGGTAGTCAATATTACCAGTTTCTTGTCTGTACGAATAGACAAAATTAGACTTACATCTATACTCTTTTTAAATTTTTTTTGCGGGGAGCACTCTTCCACACTCTGGTATATGTGTGTTTCTTGCTTATTAGATCTGAGAGATAATCCCATATGCCTTATTTACTTCACCAGTCCCCTACTGATGGATACTTAGGTTGATCCCTGTTTTTGCAATGGCTCCTCTTCCCTTCTGTGGTCTGAGCCACTTCCCAATAGTCATGGTCCCTCTTTGGAAAGCCCAGAGTTGCCAGGAGCATCTTTTGCCTCTGGGGAGCTAAACGCCAATGTGCCTCTGTGCACCAAATGGAGGGGCCCCGGAATAGACAGAAAATAGTTAAAAATCCAACCACAGAGAATGATGACTTTGTCTTTCTCTTCTGGAGTTTATAGTGCTTAGTGAGGAGCCTGAAATGCTTCCTTAACCTGTCCCCGTCACCGCCCCCAGACGCACAGCCTCGGTACTCCCTTCCACCCCGGAGGCCAGTGGGGGTAGTCCGTGCCCCTTCTCCCAACTCCCATAAGGTGCCCCCCTCCCATCCCACCGGTCCTTTCCCAGCCAGACAACCTCGCAACTCCCCTGCCCAGTTCCAGTTCAGAATGCACTTGAAACCACACACCACCGAGTTGCAATGGCATTATGTCCGGGGGCCTGACTCTGCAGGTCTGCAGAGACCTTGCTTGGCAGTCTTCCCTTCTATATGAACCAGGCCCTTTATGCTCGGTGCCTCTGGCTCCAACTCCCATGAGGCATAAAGACAGTAACCACCATTTATAAAGGATGCGCTCCATGCCACGTGAGCAGGGCCACTGGCACCCTTTTATCTCCGTCAGTCACCATGACACAGCCAGACCAAGGGAGCACCGCATTCAGCCCCATTTCACAGATGTGGAAACTGAGACCTAAGGGGGTAAGGTGTTTTTAGTTAGGAAGGCCAGAATGGAATCCAAACCCAGGTCAGTCTAACCCCAAAATCCTTGCTCTTAAACCATACTGGCTCCAGTAGCTGTCCCTGGAGCCTCATATGGGACCTGGGACATATGAAGTATTCAATAAAAACATGTTGAAGGGAGAATACATTTTTTAAAATGACTGTCCGTGGCCATATAATTAAAGCCATGGACATTGGCTCCAGATTTGGGGTGGCAACTTTTTATGCAAATTGCAGATCGAAGCCCTCTTCAACCTCCTTGGGAGTTTTTAGCAAATCCAAATGTTTCCCTAATGGAGTTTTTATTGAAAACCAAGTGTCCACTTGGGAAAAGAGATAGAGGCATCGCCTTGCTTGTGTCTCTCAACTTTTCAATAGTATGATTTAGTTGCTGTGTGAGGCTCTATCTTCAGGTTCCCGTTGACCATCTCCTGTACTGTGGAGCTAGAGACTTATGGGCACTATATTTATGGCAGAAGGAGATATGCTAAAATAATAAATAGCCTTCCACGTGGAGGAAGGCCTATCATCCAAAAATAGCACAGCCCTGAGCCTGGACTCCCATCACTACTGGGCCATTCCGTCAGGTTGTTATGCATAGCTTTTTCCCTGCTGCCATTCTGACCAAGCATGGCCCTCAGGCGCGCACGATATATGACGCTACTAATTCTTACGGCTTCTAAGACAGGGCAGATAATATTGCCGTTTTGTAGATGAGAAAACCTGGCATCTAGAGAAAAAAGCTGTGGCCACAAAGATGCATTTAAATGTGCTGAGGTCTGCAGTCAGAGTGAAGGGCAGCGTGGACCAGGCTAGCCACGGGAGAGCCACAGTGCGTGCATTTACACACCTCACTGGGTTTTATTTTCAGCCAACCTTATCTAGCCCTTTCCCGGGAGTTACTGCAAAATCCAGGGTAGCCCATGGGAAAAAGAGTTCCATGGGGAAGGAAATAAAGAGAGAACAATCACGTTTACTGAATTCTTACTATCTGCCAGATTCTGTTAAGGGTTTTACACCCACTAGCTCTGCTAATCCTGAAAATATTCCTGTAGGTGGGCATCACTTTTCCTACTGGGGCTCACAGAAGTGAAGGGATCTTCCAGGCTCCAGAGCCCTTGTGGTTTCCAAAGCTTGGTTCTAAGGAGAGGGCAGAACCCCCGTCAGCCACAGAGTCTGACTACCAGGAGGAAAGGCTACAGGAGAAAGCCAAAAGAGGAGAGAAACAGAAATGGAGAGGGGGAAAAACATCTCCCCCCAAGTGGGCTGTGGGTTTTAAAACTTAATGATCAGCGTGGGTTGGAGAGGGAAAAGATGAGAAATGAGCTCCCTGGAGACCTGAAAATTGTTTCCTGATGTCTCTGGTAAAACATGGTCAGCTGAAGAGGGCAAAGAGAGAAGCCAAAAAATACACAGAGAAAAGCCAACGGAACCTGGGTTTGGGGGGATGGTATTTATGTAGCAGGAACTGTCCCATGGGCATGGTTCTCCCTGCAGGTAGACCCAGTGCACAGGACGTGTTCATTTTTCTTGCTCTCCCGGCTCTGGACCTCCATCCAGTTCTGGGAATGGGTTCGTCGAGGTCAGTTTCCATGTCAGTGTCATGTCCAGGATCCCTCGGCTGGGCTGGCTCTGCTGCCCCGTCCTGGGCCCAGAAAGGTCACACCATAACAATATGCCTTGGAGAACCAAGCCTCAGTTTCCTCCCCTATAAAATGGCTACCACACTTTCTTCTCAGGGGTTTCTAAATGAGAATTAATCCTTATCAGTTACAAAGAACCGTACAATGGTCAAGTCTTGGTATCATTTAATAAAAGGAACTAGAAAGCAAAGGTTTGGAAAAAATGCTAAAACTGAAAAATTATAGGATGGCATATTCCAAGCTGTGAAACCACCAGCCTCACTTCCTCAGATATCAGCTGTGGTGTTAACATTCTACTTGAGTGAAACCTAATGGCAGCTCCATGGCCCTGGGCCCTGTACCTGAATGCGAGAACAATCGTCTCTATCAAGTCACAACTTGACCACAGATCACCACATTCTCCATCCTAAAGGCTTGGCTCAGACACGAACTCTAGAAGCTGAGTTTTCCTAGATAAGGAATCCAGGAAAAATTATTGATGAGCAAGATAGTTGATTATTTCTGGGTTTCTCCTGTGCTTTCTCCTTGACAGCCATGGGCTCTCCAAAGGAGATCAGTTTCTCAGACATCACTGAGGATTCGGCCACGGTCAGCTGGATGGCGCCCTCTGCCCAGGTGGAGAGCTTCCGGATTACCTACGTGCCCATTGCAGGAGGTAGGGCACTGGAAGGAGGGGTTGGAAGGAGCAGCCTGGAGGGTTTGAGTGGGGTAGTGAAGAGACTCTGATAACTCCCATCCTCCCAAATATGACCAAAGAAAATTACTTCCTTCTGTTGGAGACCATATCTGTAGGTTTCATTTGTAAAGTGCTGTAAGATCCTTGGAAGAACTGCCTTGCGAAGGGTCATTTTATGAAGACCCTCTTCCAGCCTTGAAACCCTCGACTCCTATAAGAAATGGACCCCAGTGTTGTTTTCACACAATGGCAGAGACTCTAAATACACTGGTCCTTTTCTCTTTGAGCACACTCATCTGAAAAGCTGATCCTGACCTGGATGTATGTGAGGTTTTATCCTTTGGTCCTCAAATCTGTCTGTCTCAGTAGAGATGGGGAGTTGTGAGAGTTCTAGTTCAATGCACAGGGGCCACAACAAAGACCGTGGTGGGGGCAGGGGGGATGCACCGTCAGATCTGCTTAACCCAAACCTAAGACAATGGGTTAAATAGACCAGATATACATTACATAGTGAGCTTTTCATACTCTTTGTGGGAAAAATAAATAAATAAAAACATGCCAGCTCTCTACCGAACGGAAACTTGCCATTTTTAGCACATTGTGACTTCATGTTTCTTCCCCTCCTGGCTTGGTTTTTGGCATCTGCACGGATGGAAAAAAAGCATTATACAAAAAGTAAGACCTCTTCTCTTATGCCAGAGGATAGGAGCAAATGAGAGGAAGTCAAGAAAATGGTACTGGATCAAGATATAATTTCATTTCCAAATCGGATACACCCATTCTTGGGGCAACAGTAAGTTTCAGTGAGGTTCACCATTCCCGATCTTGCTTTTGCCATGTTCCAGGGACACCGTCAGTGGTAACTGTGGATGGAACCAAGACTCAGACCAGGCTGCTGAGGCTCTTACCTGGAGCAGAGTACCTTGTCAGCGTCATCGCCATGAAGGGCTTCGAGGAAAGCGAACCAGTCTCAGGCTCGTTCAGCACAGGTGTTTTTCTCACCTTCCGCATTATTGCTCATGACTCAGCAACTGGAAAAAATTTCTTTTATTTGGGAAATCCTAGTGGAAAATGGACTGAATTTGGAGCACCAGAGATCTCATTTCTGGCCCGTCCCTGGCCTGTTATAGGCATGAACCCTTGATTTCATCCTTAACTGCCCTGGGCCTTCATTTCTTGGGTTAGTGTGGAAGAAAGAACACACGTTTGGGAGTCATACTGCCCTGTCTACCACTTCTAGATACATGAGCTGTCAATTACTTTCTTTAGGATCTAGTTTCCTTCTCTGTAAAATGGGTACAATTCTGCTTTCTTTGCAGGGTGCCATAAGAATCACATGACATGATTTATGTAAAACATCTGTAAATGGAAATGACTGTGCACGTTAATCCACCTCCTTCCCTCCCTGCCTATAGAGGAAACCCTCTGTAATGGTGATAGCTATAAAGTAGCTACTCCTGACTGGGCTGCTACTGCATTCTAGGCACTGTCCCTAAACCCTTTGCATTTAAACCATGCAAATGCCTACATCATTCCCATTTTACAGAGGAAACAACTGAGATCCAGGGAAATGAAATACCTTGGCCAAGGCCACCTAACTAGTAAAGTAAATGCTGAAGCAAATTTGAACTTAGGTCAATCTCACTCCAAACCCTGTGTTCTTCTAAAACAGAGGATTGTTTTCCTATTACAACCTGATTTGTACAGCATACTGTAAGGAGGGGGAAATAATGAATTGCATTGAAGGAGAATGAAGTGGAAAATTTCTCTTCAGGCAGCCATGTCTCTGAACAATTTATCCTTTGATAGGCGAGCAATTATCCAGTCTAATCCATTAAGGGATCCAAAGAATGGGCCTCATAGGAAATTTTAAAAATATCCTAATAGTCGAAAAAAGTTGATTATATGCAATTATAACATCCCATCTGAACCCAGAGTCCTGTCCGCCCTGCCACACAGGCCCTTATTTCCCCCATAGAAACCTTTCATTCATGGACTTTCCGGTTGCAAACGCGGGATGCACTCCCTCCTGAGGCCCATTGTCCTGGGCATTTAAAGGAGATTCTGTACAGACAGGCTGAAGCAGGAAGGAGCTTGGAGTTGACCATGTGGGCTCCCAAAAGTACTCTGCCTCCTTCTGCTTCTCTGGGCCGTCATCACATCTCTTGGGGCTCAGGAGCCTCATCTTTGAAATGAGCTGATGACAGCTGACCTCCAGCCTCCCAGGGCCGTTGTCCTGGAGTAATTGAGTCATAAATGCAAATGCAAGAGGATAATAGTCCTCTTTAGGTTAGTTTCTGAGAAAGGGCTGCTGGGTCATCACAGGGGTCGGTTAAACGGGCCAGCGCCCTTTGTCAGTACAAGTCACTTGGCAATCATATCGAAGACTCCAGTAACGTTAATAGTCATGTTACTAATAGCAGCCACCGTGAGTGAGCGCTGCCCCAGCACGTCTCACACACGCAAGGTCTCGTTCATCCATCTAGCAGCCGCCCTCTGACACCTGAAGAAATGAGGTTTGGAGAAGGGCACACAGACGCTAGGCAGAGAAGCCACGATAGAACCGGGGCCCGCCAGCCTCTGGGGCCTGGCTCCGTGTTGCCCACCAGCCCCCTAACCGGAGCTATCGTTCAAAGCCCAGAAGAGCCTCGGGCAGCCTTGACTCTGGGAGGCTCCCTGTTTCTGTAAGTTCTTTCCCTGGGAACAGTGATGAACTATAATGATAACCCTCATCATACGTTCAGCCCTTTCCGGTTTATATAGCTCCTTTCCACCTGTACTATCATGTGAGCATCAGAATAACCCTGAGGATAAATCCAGGCAGAATGAGGATCTCCACTGTACAAGTGGGGAAACAGAGACCCAAGAGAAGCCAGCCAGCAAGGGAAGAAACCATGACTCAAAGCCAGGGCGCCCTGGCTCCAGACTCAGGACGTGAACTGTGTGCGCACCAGGCGCCATGTTCCAACACCAGGAGCCCAGGAGCAGTGAGACAGCCGAGCAGCTGTGGGCTGGTGTCTGACCCCACCACTGCCTATTTCTTCAATATATCATCATCTTTCTTTGCAGCTCTGGATGGCCCATCTGGCCTGGTGACAGCCAACATCAGCGACACAGAAGCCTTGGCCATGTGGCAGCCAGCCATTGCCCCCGTGGATAGTTATGTCATCTCCTACACAGGGGAGAAAGGTAAGGCCATGTCTAAGACCCTCCCCACCAGGAGGAGTGTCTGTCCTGCTGTTCCCCTCCTCCCTGTCACGTTTGGACCAGGAAAGCAAAAATACATGGGAAGCTTGGAAAGGCCAGTGATGTTCTTGAGGCTCTCAGAAGAGACTAATGGGCTGAAGCCGGGGCTGGGTAGGTCGGTGTGGAGGGCCTGGCCAGAGGGGGGCAAGGGAGGCCTCACCCATCCTCCTCTGCTTGTTGACAAGTGAAGAGCATCAATGTTGTGGTTGTACCAAGGAAGGCCGGTAGGCCATTTAAAGGAAAACAAAGGGCACATTTCCAGCCTGCATGCGTTTCCCTAGCCTGTCCCCCCCTCTCCTGCTAGTCTCCCTGCCTGTCACCGTGAGCCTCCCTCTCTAGGCAGCAGCTCCCATCTCTTACAAAGAATGAGTTCAAAATCTAGAGTCTTAAACAGGCTATTTCAGGAGGCACTGGGGAGGCTGGGCCTCTTAGAGGCTACAGAGGAGTTAACAGATGCAATTGAGAAATCAGATATTATTTCTCCTTGTCCTTGCAGACATCTGTGCTGATTAATATACTTATTTAGCCGACTAAACACTTGTTTGGGGCACCAACACATCACGGCCACCAAAACGTAAGATCAAATACAAGTAAGAGAGAGGAGAAAGAGATTGTTTTTCAGTGAATGAATTCATGCTTTTGTAATGAGCTACCCTAGAAAAAGACTTTACTATCTGAATCCCAAAGCACGTGTAAGTTTCCTATTTTATGGTTTAGGATTGTTTTACTTGCAGTGACAACATGAAGGGATGCCATAACCTGTGCCTGGGGCCTCTGAAAATCTGCATTCCCCCCCGGACCACTACCTAAGAGAGTTCTTTATGAGCATAGAGCAAGTTGGAGAGTGAGGGAAGAGAGATTTCGGGGTTTATTCTTTTTACTCCTCTATTCATTCATCTCTTCAGTTCTTAAATATTCCCCATGAGCGAACTCCTCCGAGTCAGGGAAGCTGGTGATGTTGTCTCTACAGTAAACCAGAGCATAGTTCACAGGGATTATGGGATTAGTAGATGCAGACCTAGAAAGGGGCCTGGTCCAGGAGATGGGGTCTCATGGATGATAAACAGGATGATCAACTGATCCCAGGATACCCAGGACTTTCCCAATTCCAGCACTGAAAGTCCCACACCCTGGGAAATCTCTCAGTCCCTGGCCAGCCAAGGTGGTCGGTCACCTGTGATCAGGAAATAAACACACGCACCTGGCTCCATGTTCTGGTTTCCACCACTGGACTTGACCCAGTGGGTCTGCGAGGCACTAACCAGGCTCTAGAGCGTCTGCAGCTGCCCAGTTTTTGTGGTTCTCCAGCCTCGTGATTTAACAATATTTGTCAGATTATAAAAGGACATGAGAGTAAGTGAAAAAGAGGGGAAAGCAAGTAACGAGACACATTAAATCTGGGCAGCCCGAGGCTTGGAGACGTTAGCTGCAGCTCTCGTTCCTGCACCTCCGCTGCAAAGCTCCCCCCGGCCAGCACCATGTGGAAACACCTCCTGACCCCCAGGCCCCCTTCCTCCTGATTTGGTGCCTGGAAAAATCCAGTCTCCATATGATAAATCCTTTGTGTATGAGGTGAGTGCTCAAGAGAGAGAACAGGGTGTGAGTCATTTCAGAAATCAGACCTGCTTTTCTACAGGGTCCCTGAAAGTTTGTGCTAGAAGTAGGTGTGTGCGCCGTGTGCCAAGCATGCTGATGGTTCACACGGGGAGCGGTCACCGCTCGGTGTGTTTCATGTTTAGTGCCAGAAATTACACGCACAGTGTCCGGGAACACGGTGGAGTACGCTCTGACCGACCTCGAGCCTGCCACGGAGTACACGCTGAGGATCTTTGCAGAGAAAGGGCCCCAGAAGAGCTCAGTCATCACTACCAAGTTCACAACAGGTATGAAGACGCCAGGAGCTGGAAGACGCCCACCCACGGCCTCCATCTTAAACTCCAACCCCTTCTTTCTCAAGTCAGGTCCTTGCAATGTGATGACATCAACATCAGCTAAATTCACCAGTGCCCACTCAATCGGGACCTTAAGGAACACACCATTTCCTTTTGAACTGAAATGACCTTGTTCTCCCCCCAGACTAAGAAACGGTTTTAAGAGGAGGGCTTTTTTAAAGTGGAAAACCAGTCCCTATTGGCCCTCAACCCAGTATTTAATGATCCCTGTTCTAGGCAGGGAAATATTTTTAAGAGAAGGATTTTTCAGGCACGTTTTCCTAGATGTCCATTGGGTTTTTATACATTGACATCTTTTTACAAACTGTAGCAGGCAGGGAAAGAGAAGAAGCATCCTCTCAGTAGGGATGAATGCCAATATCAGCATTCATCTATCCACTTATTGAGGAGCAAGAGAGGTTGGGAATTATGTTCACAGCTGTGTCTTTCTTCCCAAATCCACCCAAGGCCAATCAAGAGTGTGTTGGGCTCAGGAAAATCTGGCCCTTGGGATGAAACGAACCACAGAGAATTCTGTCTTTGGAGATCGCATGATTCAACCCCCTCATCTACGGGGTGGGGAAGGTTCTGCCCAAGGTCATATAGGTCAATGGTAGGGAAAGGACTTGAAGCCAGGCTTCCTGATAACCCAGCCAAGGGAGTTTTGTCCTAGAGTTGCTGACACATTTGCTAACAAATGACTTATCTTCTGCAGACCTTGATTCTCCAAGAGACTTGACTGCTACTGAGGTTCAGTCAGAAACTGCCCTCCTCACCTGGAGACCCCCCCGAGCATCTGTCACCGGCTACCTATTGGTGTATGAATCCGTCGATGGTACAGTCAAGGTATCTTGAAGTATATAAACTCCCCGCTACTGTTTGAAACATGTACATGATCCTCAGCGGAGAGAAGAATCACCCCGGGGCTGTTTCTCCATCTCAGTGCAGCTAGAAAGCTGAAAATAAAAAAAATTAACAGGGACGGGATGCCATGCCAGACCTTCTGAATCATATGCTCCAGCCTCCCTGTCTCATTTTAACCAGACTCCAGTTTTGATTGCCCGCCAAGGTCAAGAACCACTGCTCACAAGATTTGAGGACATTTTAGGAGCTGGATGCTGGTCTTTTAATGTTTTATTGAGCAAAAGCCAGAGGCTTCTTGAGCATCTTTGCCATATATACAATCTCGCAGATGGCATCATTCCATTATATATTGAAACATACATCACCACGCTCCTAAGACAACAACTGTTAATGCTATTTACAGCAATTGTTACTGATATTCTCTATCCATGAACATCTTTTCTTTTACTTTCCAATTCAAAATAACTTTAACCCTTCCTTTCACACAAGTGAACTTGATCTCTAAACTTTATTTTCTGAACTTGTTATTGAACTTTTCATTTTGGTCATCGCACTCTACATTTCTAAGATCTTTTCCTTATTCCCTGCTCATCCATCCTTCTCTAGCGTATTGTTTGTATTCCGCTTCTTCTCTTCATCTCTAAGATGGATGATATTTAATTCTACAACCTGCATAGTGTCTCTTCCAAGTTCCTTTTTTTTTTTTTTCCTTTCTTTCTGTTTCACTGCTATTGTTTGGTTTGGGTCTTTATCTTTCATGTTGGAGACTTCCACCCAATGTCCAATGGTCCTTTTGTACTTGAGCCAAGAATGAAACAGCTTATTGGGAGTTCCGATGGCAGACACAGGGCTTGTCAACTAATGAGGCTCACCGTAGAGTAAGCAAGTGCCCAGCAATTTTGTTGGGGGACTCACAAGTAGCAGTTCTGTAAGCCTTTTCTCTTGAGCTAATCCACCTCCCTAGAGGGTCCTCCAACCCCTTCAAACCAAGCTGCCAGGACCATAGCCCGAGGAAGAGCCTGGGCCCCCGCTGTGTACACACCTTCCCTTCTGTTTCCAGTGTAGCTCCACGGGGCCTGGTGGATTTGAATCCAGAGTCTTCTCTCTGGCTCAGTGTCTCCAGAGAGTACACCTCAGCCTTTCATCTGGACTGGGAAGGACAGTCATCCAGACTTGGTGTGGGGGTGGGGGGGATGGGAGAGCTTGGAATCTGTTCCTTATTTAAGCTGTTAAACAAACTTTTGTTCAGCCATGTCCCACACTGGCCTTCAAAGGCATCTTTGTTTTTGTACACATCCCATTCCTGAACTTGATAGGCCCTGCAGCATTCATCAACCAGCTTCAGGATGGCCTCACCCACTCAGCCAACTATCCCCCAGCCTGCCCCCTCGCTTGTCACCCCACCGCATCCCTTCCCATCCGTCAGGATTCTGTGGACATTGCATGCCTCTGTCTGTCTCGTCTGTCATCTGCTTCATCCTCATGGACTTGTGCTTCCTATCCCTTCACTCTCATTGCAGGGGGTTTCAGAAGAAAGTAGAGCTAAACTGGCATGTCTAATCCGCCATGTTTAACTAGAAGTGGACACACATTTCTAGTTACTCCCGTGGCCCTTCTTTGAGTTGGCATAACAACGAACTAACTCACTGTATGCATGGAGGCAAGTCCTTTACTTTCTCTGGGTGTCGTGTTCCCATCTGTAAAATGAGTGCATTGGACTCACCAGCCTTACAAGTTGCTTCCCAGCAGGCATTCTAGGACTGAGTTTACCTGAGTCCTGCGCCTCATTTCAGTCTACCCCGATTACCTAGAAAAGGACTTTGCACAGCAGCCTAGAGAGCTGAGCGGTAATTGTATCCCCAAGTAAGTCAACGAACCCAGCTTTATACCTGATCCTTCCCCAGGGACCAGACCTGGGGGCCACATAAAGGTCACCAGGTCACCGATGTCAGCCTACTGACTTACCTTCCTGCATGTCCAGTCCCCAACTGTGTATGTTTCACTCAAGAAAATAACCTGATGTAGGAGGAGAGAGTCCTGGACAGGATGTGGGGAGATAGGAGGTAGGACCAACCTCTGCCACCAACACATTATGGAGTGAGAGTGAGTCCCTCAGCTTTTCTGGACGTCAGCCCCCCACCCCTCATGGGAAGCATCAGGATAACCTCACCTGCCCAGCGTGAGGATGCGAGAGAGCATTGCAGGGGCCTCCGCCCTGACTCACTATTGCCCACAGCTTGTCGGCCATGTTTGCAGGCAGCAGGCACCGCTGGGTTGGGTTTGTTAGCAGTGTAGGGTGAATTCCAATCCCAGACACCCAGGTCATCTGCTAAAAGGTGAATTTGCAGGCATGGGAAGCTAGAAAGAGGATTTGGAAAGGAGGAAGACCTCCTGGAAGCTGGAACTAATGTTCTCTGGACAGTAACACCGTGAGCAGTCACAAACTACGGCGGGGGGGTGAGAGGAAGTCTGGCCGCAGAGGCGCACGCACGCCTCTCCTGGACATCTCTGTTCTACAAAGAGATAAGCCGGGTCAGCTCAGGCTTCCACCATGCCTGCTGAGCTACTGCAGTCATCCCCTGACTCAAGAGATCCCCACACTGACTGCATCCGAATCATTCGGGGAGCTTCTTTGATATGCACCTGGCAGAGCCCCACTTCTGGCTCTTACGATGCCGCCAGTCTGGGATGGCGCCCAGGCGTTGTATTATCTTAAAGCTTCCCAGAGGCCTGTGAAAAAGAGCCATATTAAGGACCACTGATATAACTGGTCTGAAAACCTAAACCTTTTGTCCTTTGTGTGGTTCCTCTTGCTACCATGTTAAGCTGGGTTCACTTCATTCACTTGTTCAAAAACCTTTTGGGAGTCCGCATCCCTTATCATGATAAACTTCGGATTCCATAGCTTGGCACTTAAGGCCCTTTGTAATCTGGTCTTTGCCTCCTTCTTCCACCACTCCAGCACCACCCAAAACCAAGTGTGGTTCAGGTCGGTCATTACCTCCTCCTCTGCCCCTTCTGGCCTCAGTGCCTTTTTTATGCTGCACTCCCCCCATCTCTGATGTCCCAGAAATGAGCATGGAGCCTGACATAGAGTGAGGCTCAGTGGATTCTTTTGAATGAAGAAATGAATGGATGGGTGAATGAATGAATGTGTCATCTGTACCCTGAGGATTTGGGTGGCAAAAAAACTGTAACATTCTTTCTTCTGCCCTTAGGAAGTCATTCTGGGTCCAGAAACCACCTCCTATAGCCTGGCGGAGCTGAGCCCCTCCACCCACTACACGGCCAAGATCCAGGCATTGAATGGGCCCCTGAGGAGCAAGCTGGTCCAGACAGTCTTTACCACAAGTAAGGGGCTCAGGGTGCAGCGGGGCCTTGAGATCAAACTTTGTGAGACAAGACGGACCCTCCACTTCTCTGACCATGACTGAATTTTTCCCTCAAATCTCTTAAAATGATCAGTGCCTGCCACTCCCTGAGAGCCCGAGGAATGTGGGTGCAGGAGGTTAAGGGCCTCGTGGTGAAAGGGAAGGAGGACCAGTAGTGAGACCTCTGGATGCGAGCCCCATCTCCACCACTTGCTCTGGGTGATTTAGGAAAGTTACTGCCACTCTGCAAGCCTCAGTTTCTTCATCTATACAGTGGGACTCACAGTGGCCCTTCCTCACAAGGACCCTGTGCAGTGTCTGAACTCCTAGCCCCAGTGTGTGGCCCATGGGCCGGGCTCATTGTAAGCCGGGTCCTGTTAACAAAGCCTGTCCGTGGTCGAAATCAAAACCAGTCCTCCCACCGAGCTGGTAGGATCATCGGGCCCCATTTTCTGCAGGGGAAGCAGAGGCTCCCAGAGACTCAGTGACTCCAGGCTCTAGCATGAGTGAGAGGCAGATCTGGGCTCAGGGGTTCCGGGCCCTGGGAAGCGCCCTGCACCCTGCCACTGGGTGTCGTCCACAGATGGCCAACGTGTGAGGCCTTTCTCTGGTGAACTAAGAGGATGCACGCATTCCTGAGGAAGGGAGGAGTGGGCCTCTGGAAAGCCCTGAGCGCAGGATGCCCGGCGTGCATCCCCGGCCGCCTCCTGCCCTTTGCGTCTGGCTCCAGTCACTGCACACTCTCCAGTCACTCTCCCTGCTGAGGGAGCTGCAGAAGCCAAAGCCCTTTGCCAGACCTCACAGCTGGTGCTGGGAGCACAAACACATGAGTGTGCCCTAAAGATGCTCCCAGACCAGGGCCGGGCCATAAACAAGGGCACAGCTCATGACGCAGCCTCAGGTGAAGGGGGTCAGGTCAGAACCACCAGCTCCCTGTCCCACCTGCTCAGCACAGCCCCAAGACCGTCCATTTCTGTCAAGTTTTACATTGTTTTTACATCACATTAGCGCACTTGGAGATTCTCCAGGCATTCTGTTGGGTCCCTCTAAGACTCCCAGGCTCAGAGCAGTTAAATGACTTCTCCAGTGTCCCGAGGCAAGAGAGTGCAAAGTCAAGACTAGAATTCTTGTCTTTGGCTCCCAAATCCTCTGAAGAAGTCAGGACGCATGGTTTTTAGATGCCCCGTCGAGTGCCCTGATCCACAGTGAGCCACCGACTGGTGCTAGAGACCCGGCCATCCTGCCAGGACCTGGGTCTTCAGCAGGTGCTGCCTGGCTGCTCGAGGTAGATCAAGGTCAGCCTGATACTCGCTCCTCACAGAGGCTCAGCTCTCCTCCCGCCGATATCATTGGCGACTTCCATGAGTATAAGAGACCGAGCTGGGTGCCTTAGATCCATAACCTCAAAAGCCTCATCGCACCCCTGCGAAATAGGCTTTACCCCCATCTTGCACACAAGAGAACAGAGCTGCGGAGAGGTTAAGTTGCTTGCTCATAGGCATGCAGCCAGTATGCAGTGGAGCTGCAATCTGAAAGCTCCTACCAATGTTCCTGCTCGAAGAGGGCCACTCTTCCTTCTGATCCCGCAGGTGGACTCCTGTACCCATTCCCCAGGGACTGCTCCCAAGCAATGCTGAATGGAGACACGACCTCTGGCCTCTACACCATTTACCTGAATGGTGATAAGGCCCAGGCTCTGGAAGTCTTCTGCGACATGACCTCTGATGGGGGTGGATGGATCGTGAGTATCGCGAGCTCTCAGGCCTGGGGCCTGGGGGCAGAGGGCGCAGCCGGGGATGCACTCACACACCAATGTCTGGAGGTTTTGCAAGATAGTGCCTGTCATCCAGAGACGCTCAGGAACCATCTCTGAAACAAAGGAATGGGGAAGAAGCCGGGGATAAAAACCAGGAGAAAATAATTTTCTTGTAATTGATCTGATCCTCAAACAGCTCTGTGATGCATAAAAATGATGGTGGTCGTGGAGCCCATTATGTGGATTAATTAGCATTTGCTATCTACCACGCACTGTGCTAAGAGTTTTATGTGAATTATTTCAATCCCAATACTGTTTGAGCTGGGTAGTATTTTTTTTAAATTAATAAACCTTTTTTTTTTTTTTGAGAGAAAGATTAAGAGCAGGCAGGAGGGCAGAGGGAGAGGGAGAAGCAGACTCCCTGCTGAGCAAGGAGCCCGATGCGTGGCTTGATCCCAGGACCCTGGGATCATGACCTGAGCCGAAGGCACACGCTTAACCGACTAGGCCACCCAGGCGCCCCATAAACTTTATTTTTTAGAGCAGTTTTAGGTTCACAGCCAAAGTGAGCATAAAGTGCAGAGAGTGCCCACATACTCCCTGTCCCACGTGCATGGCCTCTCCCCCTATCAACATCCTACACCACAGTGGTGCATTTAGAACAAGTGATGAGCCGACCTTGACACATCATAATCACCCAAAGCTGGGTGGTATTTTTAATCCCTGTTTTTTAGGTGGAGGTGGCCTGCCCAGAGATACACAGCAAATTAGTGATGGACAGAGCTGGGGACTGGTGCTTTTCCCACAGTTCTGATGTTCTTCCTCTCAGAAAGATGCCTTCTCTTTCTTCCGATAGCTGAAGCGCGCCCTGATTCATTGGTTATGTTCCAGGTGTTCCTGAGACGCAAGAATGGACGTGAGGATTTCTATCGCAACTGGAAAGCCTATGCTGCTGGGTTTGGGGACCGCAGAGAAGAATTCTGGCTTGGTAATGCAGCCCTGCCTGTGTGTGTCCCAAGTGCCCATATCTGCCCTCCTTGTTCCTAACCCACAGCAACCGTGGGAGAGAAGGCCTAGGAGGAAACAGTAGCTCTGGTAGTAGACATGGAATATCAACTCTTCCACAGAAAAGACTTTAAAGTCCCTAGGTCATTAAAAATAAAAATCTGGTTCAGAGAGAGACCGCAACCAGACCTGAAGAATGAGCCTAGCCTGAAGTCATTCACTGAACCACTTACAGACTCATCCTCACTGATACTATTAACTATTTCCGTCCTGGGCTCCAGGTGCTGAGATGGGCCTTATAGCCATAACCTTGAGCCCCCCAGCACCTATGGAAGGTAGAAAATTCCCTCCTTACACGTGGGAAAAGAGGGATGAAGTCATGTGCTCACAAGAATCCAGCCAATAAGCAGTAGAGCTGCCACTTGAAATCTCCCCAGGCAACACCACAAAGCCATCATCCATCCATCCATCCATCCGTCCGTCCGTCCGTCCGTCCATCTGTCCGTCCATCCATGTAGCTCGTATTTTCCCACAGTCTCCCTGCAGGGGTCGCTGTTCCGCGCTCCGGTGCCTGCACTGGGGAATGTCCACCCCGTTAGCGTCCACTGCCTCTCTCCTGCAAGGAGCTTTGGAGGTTAAAAGTGCTTTCTCCACCTTACCTCCTTTGAGCTTCACAATGCCCTAGGAGGTGGGCAGGGCAAAGATGTCGCCCTGATTTTACCTGAGGCTCAGAAACGTCCTATATTTCGCCTGGTGTTGTGCCAACGAGAGCGCAAACGGCCAGACGCGGTCTATGCGAGGCGAGCCTCTTTATAGAGCCCAGCCGCTGCTCCCGCAGGGTGGATGCAGTAGAAGCATCGTCCTCAGTCACTTGTGCTGCTTCTTTAACCCTCGCCTGTCCTCCACAGGGCTGGACAACCTGCACAAAATCACAGCCCAAGGGCAGTACGAGCTGCGGGTGGACCTGCGCGACCACGGGAAGACCGCGTACGCCGTCTACGACAAGTTCAGCGTGGGGGACGCCAAGACCCGCTACAAGCTGAAGGTGGAGGGTTACAGCGGGACCGCAGGTAGGGGACAGCCACACTCCCCGCCTCCGAAACCACAAAAGCGTTCCTTGGGTTTTTAGCTCATTCCTCCCTCATTCCTTCCTTCTCGAATCCATCCGCTTATCAGATCAACAAATATCTGAATCCTTATTAGGTACTAATCCAGAGCTGCAACTGGGCAGAGGGGGGTAGATATTTTGGTCACCAAAACACAGAGTAGGGTTGGGAATCAGAACAATACGTCTTTTTCTTACCCATTTTTAGATATCAACTTTAGATGGATAAACAGTCTCTTGGGAGCCCAAAGACTCACCTAATCCAGTGCATCTAAATTATTTATTCGAATTTTTTGTGTACATATGACCCCCGGGGATCCTGTTAATGGGCCGGTGCAGACACACCAAGATTCTGCATTTCTTACGGGTTCCCTGGAGATGCCACTGTTGGGGATGCTGCTGGTCTGTGGACCACACTTTGAGTAGCAGGCAATCCACTCCATCCCCCAACTGCTTGCATCTTTTCAAAGACATCCCTGCCACGTGGTCATCCAGCCACAGCCCACATACCCCCATGACCAGAAGCTCACTACCTGCCAAGTGGCCCTTCCGGTCCTTGTCTGGTACATGACCTAGCTCAGATCCAGATCTTGCAGATGTCATTGCCTTGAAATGACCTCTGTGTGCTTTTCCGGCTCCACGTTAGAGGAGAAATTAATAAGGAAGCCACACGCATTTAGGCCTATGAGGGAGCATCTCCTTTTGGCGGATATTCCGCAAGCGTTACCCCCTTCCAGTTCTCACGGACACTGTTCCACTGTTGCTATAACACAGATGAGGAAACTGAGACCCAGAAAACCTGGGTGATTTGCCCGAGGTGGACCCAGGGGGCAGGCCTGGTGGCAGACAGGTGTGCTTGGTAGCGAGGAGGGACCAGGTCTGACAGTCCGACCACTCCTCCCTGCTTTGGGCTGGCGTCCAGTTATGTCTATGAAAACAGAAAAGACAGAAGCTATGGTACATTCCCAGCCTCTCTGAGCCCCGAGATGAAACATCCATAATAGGGAGAGCCTCCAGAGAAAGATTGGCCATCTAAGCAGAGACCAGGCTCTTTGGAGATCAGTGTGGCTGTGGTGAAGAGAGAGAACCAGGGGCCAACATTGTTTTCATTCTTGCGTCCCTCAAAGAATTCTGACATTTTATTACCTGGCAATAAATACCTGTTTGAGTGAAGTGGCTTCAGGCAAGAAGGTTTTTGTTACCGGGGGCGGGGGGTGGGGGGGATCCGGGGGGAGTCACTGAGCAGCGGGAATGCGGCCTCCACCGCCTCTCTGCACTGATTTCCAAAGCCCCCTTACTAAGGTGACCCTGGTAGAGCTGCATCCTCTGGTGGCAGCCAGCTCTCCACAGGAGGGCATCTTGTTTCATCCATCCCTACCTGCTCTCGGTCACTTCCTCGTTAAAAAGGCATCTGAGACCCTTTGTACCTTGCTTCAAAATATCAGTCCTGCCTTTCCGTCTCTGTGCTCCGTTATGTAAAGGAATGTAAAAAAAAAAAAAAATGATAAAAGTAACAACAATCACAGCTATTATATAGCATACCCCTCTACCTTCATATCCATTGATTGTCCCAACAGCACACTGAGGTGGATGGGATCAATGTGCTAGTTCCATTTTCTAGAATAGAAGAGTGAGGCTCAGCAAGAGGCCTGAAGTGGGCCAGGTCACACTAGGGAGTGAAAGCCGGACCCTCAAAGCCACCCACAAGCCTCTTTCTACCACATTGTACTGTTTCCAGCAAAGAAGAGCCCTCGGGGGCGGGGGGATCTCTCATGACCACTCCAGTCCTGTGTTTGATACTAATCCTGGGTCCAGGGTTCAAGGGCAGCCCACCCTCCAGGATCTTTCAGTCGCCACCCCAGTTCTGTCCTTCCGAGCCCACGAGGAAACCGCCCCCCCCCCCTCACTGGGACTCCTCAGATCCGTATCTCCTCTCCGCAGGTGACTCCATGGCTTACCACAACGGCAGATCCTTCTCCACCTTCGACAAGGACACAGACTCAGCCATCACCAACTGCGCCCTGTCCTACAAGGGGGCTTTCTGGTACAAGAACTGTCACCGTGTCAACCTGATGGGGAGGTACGGGGACAACAACCACAGTCAGGTGAGCCAAGTGCGAGGGTCGGGGGCAGGACTCAGGAAACCGGTCGCGGGTGACAGGCAGGCACCCCAGCCCGTCGGTCCTGGCTGAGACTAGGGGACAGCAGCCTCCGGGACCTGGTGTCACATCTGTTCCCAGCAAGGAGGAACCTCGGGGACACTGCAGGTCAGGTGAAATCCTCGAGACAGCACATGCTAACCCGTGAATGTCCCAGGGAGACCACTGGTCAGGTGGATTCCAAACACAGAAAGCTCTCCTCAGACAGAGCCTTTGTCTGAACTCCAGAAGGAAAGCAGATTCAAGTGGAGGCGTGTAGGTGACGCAGGGATGTAAGTGGGGTGTCTTATGATGTTGCCCCCAGGACGCTTTCACTTTAGCATTACTGTACCACCTTTCTTTCCTCGTCCCCTGCCACCAGAGTGACACAAAGTCCTTCTGGAAAACAAACAAACAAAAACAAAAACTCATGCCCAAAAGGAAACTTCTTTTTCCATCCTCCTCCCCTCCAATGTGGGCTGATGTGAAAGGCCACGAAGGCGTTATGGGAGGCCGTCCGTGCTCCAGCTTTGCTCTGGCAGCCTTGTGGACTCGGTGATGTCACTTTCCCTCTCCAGCCTCCGTCCCCAGCATAGAACGAGGAGGGCTTGCGTCCCACTGGGCGCCTCTGTCCGAGGGAGGACGGGGGGCAGAGGAAGGCAGTGCAGGGACCAAGTACTTCACCAGCACTGAGTAGTTACAGACACATTTGCCCATGGGGTGAGCCAGCCATTCTCACACCCCACCTGCCCGTCAGTCAGAGACTGCCTGCTATCGGTGCCCGCTGAACAATTAGAATCCTATAAAGTAAATCCTCATTTTACCAGCCATTAACTCCTGCATGTCCCCTCACAGCCCCACGCCGCTTGAAGAGAAGAGGGGTCAGAGAGTGAGGTGGTGGCCTCCTAGGAGCTCTTGCAGAAGTGGACCCCCCTTGAGGCCCTGGTGGGGCAAAGGGCCTTGTCGGTTTCGACGGCAGACTCTACCATCTGTAGACTCTGTGGGAGAGTCAAACAGGGAATTAGGGGGCCCAGACCCAAATATAATCTTTTCTTGAGAAAAAAAAAAATCGTTTCCCTATTGGAGATGAGGGAAGTTGTATTTGCTTCGCACCTACAATGTGCCCAGCACTATGATCACCCCTTTACAAATTCATTTAATCCTCATAGCATCCTTTCAAGGTTGGCACTATCAGACCCTGAAGGGTGGGGGGGTGGAAGATGGTGAAACTGAGGCCCAGAAGGGTTTGATGACTGGTTCAAGACCATTTATGTTTCAAGTAAGAGCCTTAAGATTTAATCCTGTATGTCAGGTTGTAAGATTTGTGTTCCGCCTGTGTTCCTCCTGCCATTCCGGACAAACCCTTATTAAAACACTCCACAGGAGGGGCGCCTGGGTGGCTCAGTTGGTTAAGCAACTGCCTTCGGCTCAGGTCATGATCCTGGAGTCCCGGGATCGAGTCCCACATCGGGCTCCCTGCTCAGCAGGGAGTCTGCTTCTCCCTCTGACCCTCCTCCCTCTCATGCTCTCTGTCCCTCATTGTCTCTCTCGCAAATAAATAAAATCTTAAAAAAAAAAAAAAAAACACTCCACAGGAATCCTGCGAATTAGAGACTCCCCTGCATCTAGCTAGTCAGTTCTGTAACCTCCAATCATGACCCGAATTCCTTCAGCACCTGTTCCTACTGATGGCAAGTTTCACTAGCCACCATATTGTTTCACGACGGCAGCTCAAAGCTCAATGCAAGTGTAGGTGGCTTCTGACTAAAATTTAAAAAATCGAGTCAGATTCAGCCAGCTCCTTTCCAAGTTCTCACTACACAGATCAACAGACAGATAAGCAAGAGACAGCTGTGAGCTACCAAATGGTCAGGTTCAAACAGAACTCCCTTTGTTCCCGTCGACCAAGCAGTGGTCAGTGAGCACCTTGCCTAGTGGGAACCTATCTGAGGTCTTCTCTTTTTCACAGGGCGTTAACTGGTTCCATTGGAAGGGCCACGAATATTCCATCCAGTTTGCTGAGATGAAGTTGAGACCCAGCAACTTCCGAAATCTCGAAGGCAGGCGCAAGCGGGCATAAATTCCAGGAACGACTAACTGGGTGGGAGAGGAGTAGGGCCCAGAGGAAGAAGCAAATTTTACCAAAGTCTCAGTACAAACCCATCCAACCATCAAGCCACACCCGGGCATTTGGCAGGAGCTAAAGCTGACCGTGGGTCATCGGGGCGATGGCAGGAGCGCTGGCCCCACCTACTCTGCAAGTACGTCCTACGCACCAAAGACAACAGTCTCCACAGGTGTCTGCTTGTTGTTTGAATCGGCAAACATCTTCCAGTGATGGTGTCATGGTGGTTGTCCTTCTCTTGGGTGGCTCTGGGAATGGGAGAGGGGTAGGCTGTACAGTGGTAGTTTGTGTTAGAACCAGCTGTATTTTACACAAAGCTGTATGAGTATCATTATTTTTGTTCGCAATGATTCGGTGTGCATCATGGGAGGCCGTCCCCCGCCCCTTTTTTTACATTTCATGCAACAAAAACCAGAAAAGCAATACTGTTTCGATTTTAAGGATACGATTAATATTATTAATATAATAATAATGACGATGAAAACTAAGAATTTTTAAAGAGAGCTTCCTTTCCAAAACACATCTGGACAGTACCTGATTGTATGTTGTTGTTTTTTTTTTTAATAAAAGCACAAGTACTTTTAAATTCGGCTGTTGTTTTTGCCTTTCATTGTTGAGCCTGAATTCCACCAAAGGCAACGTATTTGAACAGAGGGAGGAATGCTGGAAAGGAACGGAAAGGAACAGTGAGGAGGAAGGGAAGAAGGGAGGGGGCGTACACGCTGGGAGAGAAGAAAACTTTTTTGAACAAGGCTGAACGAGGTTGGGAAAAAGTTACCACTTGAGATTCAGCTTCTTGCTCATTATTTTTAAGACTAAGAGTGTGTGGTTTCAAAGATGCTTTTATACCCATCTTCTAGAAATTCCATGATATAGATGAGAAGACAGTTGTTATCCAGCAAGGATTAACATGCCCAGAGGCAGACTACCTGAGTTCAAATCTTGGCTCCACCATCCCCTTATTCCCTAATCTCTCTGTGCCTCAGTTTCCCAATCAATGAAGTGGGGATACTTGCACTTCTTAACTGCATAGCATTTCTGCAGAAAAAATAAATATCATCCAGATAAGGCCCTTAACATGGCTCCTGGTGTAGAGTAAGTGCCAATAAGTGTTAGCTGTCTCTACGATCGCTTTATATATGACAGACTGGGGTTCACAGAAGTGCAATGACTTGCCCGCAGGCTACCCACCCAATTAATCATAGAACTAGGATTTCAACTCCAGTCTCTGGCCCGAGTATTCTTGCTCTCCCTCGGGACCCTGATGAAAATCCCTCCTTCCCTGAGGAAATGTGTGCGGTGAGTTGCAGAATGATGGAGTGTGGGGAAGTCCTGCTGGATCCTTCCTACAACCCCAAGATCTTAGAACTAGAAAGAATGTCTGTTAGGAAGATCTCCCCCTCCCCCACTCAGAGCCCCCCTGTCGTGTCCCTCAGCCTCGGCCTGAATGCATCTAGTGGCGGAGGGAACTCACTGCCCAGCACAGCAGATCTGCTCGTACTCGGCAAATACCGAGTTAGAACCACACATTACACATTTGTCTTTGAAAACAGGGTGGGTTGGGGGTGGGGGGAGAGCAATTCCCAGTTAATTCTCTAGGGGATTTTCAGCAAAGGGACTTATTTAATGAAAATGTTTGGGCTGATAGGCCTCATTCAAATGGAATGTGATAGCTCAGACATGAGGATGAGAAGAATTTACGACTCGGGCCAGATCCTTCGCTGCTGAGTTTATCTTGCTTTAGTAAATGCTGTCACGTCATATACACAGTTGGCTGTTCCAGATCATAAGACTCACCCTCTGCAACTCCGCCATAGCAAACTCGCCTTGCTGTGTAAACCTGAGCAGACGGGCTCCTGCAACAACCAAGCCTCAAGTGGGAGGCTTAACCCGCTGCTGACGGTTCCCCTGGGAGGCCCTGCGCCCCGCTGCTGTCCCCTCCCCGCAAATGCAGTCATAACAAAGTGGGTGAGGTTCTTCCCAGAAGCCACACCAGAATCAAATTCCCCATCAAACAGGAGTCCTTAACCCAGAGCGCTGGGAAGGTTGCAGATGCCCCCACGTGGGGATGGGCAGCCAGAAGGGCCCGAGCCAAGACGCTCAATGCTGCCCCCATCCTGGTCAAGGCATGAGCTCACAGTCCTCAAAGGAGTCCTTCAGTCTCTGGCTCTGGCTTTGTTCAAGCAACTTCCTCCCTCCTGAAAAGGCTCCTGGAAATTCTACTCCACTGCGGCCTCCCAGGAAGCGCTCCACTCAGAGTGAATTTCCAGGGAGTCTGGCCTTCCCTTTGTCCTTCCTCCATCTGCTCCCCTCCCTTCCCCCCTGCTTGTACCCTTCAAGGCCACCCTGCATGGATTATACCAATGGACCCCCAAGCCCTCAGGCTTCTGGTTGGCTATCAGAATGGGAAGTGCTGGGACAGTGGGGGATGGGGTGGGGGTGGGGGTCAAGGTCCTTATTTTCCAGCCCTACCTCTGTAGCATCACAGGGGGCTGACAGTTTCCCTCCCAGGAGAGGAACAGCGCCTGTCCATTGACCGTGCCCATTCAGCTCTCTGTCCAGGTGTCGGGTAACTGTCCCCCCTTGAGCCCTTCAGACTCTCCTCCTCCCTGCCTGCACTTTGGAAACAGTCCCTCTTCTCCTGCCTCTCCCGGGGACCCTGACAGACAGGCCCACTCTCCGGGCGCCCCTGTTGTCCCTGCCTGCTGGCCTTACACCATTCTTTCCCCTCGGGCCTCCCACCATGGCAGCCACAGGGGAAAATACTCCTTCCTCCTCCCCGTGAGAGCCGGGGCGCATACCTCGAGCCCTGCCCAATGGATACCTGCAGAGGGACTTCTAACCTTGAACAAGGAATGAAAATCAAAGAGCCTAAGAGACTGGCTTCCCCACGGCCACCACAGTGTCTGCCCACACATCCCCGTCCTTCAGGACAATCCATCCCACCTTCTCCCTTTCTCAGCCTGCCCCTCCCATGCCATTCTTCTTCCCACCATTCCTTGCCAACTCCACATACAGGGTGGGGGCCCCTGTGGGCTGTGCTGATTGGCTCTCTTCTCCCCCAGGATTCTCTTTTCGCTTTCTGTTTAAAAGTCAGTACTGAATGCCCACCATATGCCCAGCACTAGATGAACAAAATAACCATGGGCCCTGGTCCCTCGAGCAGCTTCCATGCCAGGGGCAGGCTGGCAACAGCCACCACATCGGACAAGCCAACTGAGGGTATGCTTGGGAAGCAAAGCCGAGACACTACAAGAATATCTAATGAGGACCTGACCCTGACCGGGAAGGGTTCCCTGAGAAAGAACATCTGAATCGTGACCTAAACAATAAGTGAGCGTTAATTAGGGAAGAAGGCAGGGGAAGCAGAGGGCAGAGTATCTCTAGAGGCCCTGAGATGGCCCAGCTGTGCAGAAAGCCAGCCAGGAATCCCGTCCTGATGGTTCTTTTGGTCCAGGATAAGGATTTTGATCTTTTTCCCTAAATGCAATGGGAAGCTGCTAAGGAATTCTAAGCAGGGGAGGATTATGATCCTATCTTTTCTCTAAACCATCTTTGTGTTGCAGCCTGCAAGACAGGAGGTGCCGCGGGGCCCAGGGGAAAGGTGATGGGGTTTGAGCAGGTATGTTGTCATGGAGATGGGGCATACGGTTCTGAGAGACGTTTAGAAGGAAAAACCCATAGGACTTGGGGTCCCAGAGAGCTGCTCCACGTCCGCACCCCAGTTCCAGAACTGCTCTCAGCTTTTGCAGGGGGTGTCTTCTAGATGCGACTCCATTGTCTCAGTAGGGGTGTGCGGAGCTGGAGTCAAGGCTCCATGAGCCCCAGGAACCCGGAGGCCTGCAGGGTCCCATAGTACTAAGCATCGCTCCTTGGACTTTGGATGGGGGGGCGGCAATCAGGGAAGCTCCTTGGAGGTTACTGTGGTTAGAATGGGATTAATGCCAAGGCGAGGCTGTGGCAGAAGGCAAAGGGTGAAGGTGGTGGGGGGCCTTGCCCTGAAGGCTTTATGTCCTGTAAGTGCAGCTGAGAGGTGCTGATGGTGTTTAGGGCAGGAGTGACAAAATCAGCATTGCTCTTTGGAAGGCTCACTCCCATACTAGAAAGGTATTTGCTCCTGCTAGCCTGTCCTCTGGCCTCAGTGGGGTGCTGGACGTCCTCACAGGTGCCCCCCACCACGATTCAGGCGCATGTGGTATACTTGTGGCCAGCAGAGGGCTCCCTCCCCTTGTCCTCCTCCCTCCGTGGCCAGCACCGCAAGTGAATTTAAAGCTCAGGAAGGAAGTCGGAAAAGGCTCTCCTCTTGAGAATCACTCCAGCCTCACCAAGACTGGAAAATAGATTCCACTGTGTTACAGAAAGAAACACACACACACACACAACACACTCAGTCAAAACGAGCAGCTCCCGCGTTAGCCCAGTACCTTTGCAGCTGCAGGTAAAGGAACTGTTTCAGAGCAGTGAAACGACTTCTCTGAGGTTCACTTGATCTTGAAGTGCCAGAGCTAGGACTGAACTCTTAGATCTGACCCCTTAGGCCAAGTGCCTGGAGGAGCATCTCTTGGCATATTTATTCCTTTTATCCATTCTTCCATTCGGTACACAAGGAACACCCACCATAAGCTTGTTCCCTCATAACACTTTACAGTTTGCAAAGCCGATGTGAGTATAACTTTTTTTTTAAAGGTTATTTATTTATTTATTTTAGAGAGAGAGCATGAGGGGGGGAGGGTCAGAGGGAGAAGCAGAGTCCCCGCAGAGCAGGGAGCCCGATGCGGGACTCGATCCCGGGATTCCAGGATCATGACCTGAGCCGAAGGCAGTTGCCCAACCAACTGAGCCACCCAGGCGCCCTGATTATAACTTCTTTAAAGTAATCGTCTTTGCAGTCAGAGCTGAGCTTGAATCCCATTTTCCAATTACCGACTGATCTTGGTCGAGCTGCTTCATTTTTCTGAGTATCCTTAAACATTAGAAATAAGAAGATATACCCTGATGAGAAGTTGTGATGATCTGAAAGAGAAAAATGGACAGCACCTGGCCTGGAGAAAGTGCCAAGCACACATTTCTCTCTCTGAAGTGGATAGACAGTAGTTCAAAGCTGAGCATCAGGGTAAAATACTCATGTCAGCCAGCAGATGGCAGTCTCCCCCGGCTTTAGGAGGGCACTCAATGAGGCGCTTCTAGCGATGTGTTCAGGTGGCTGGAGACCCAGGCTCTTAGAAACCTCCAGGGAAACCTCCACCTTCATTCCAATCTCCTGCTCCATAAGAGGTTCAAATCCCATCCACGGGCAGCAGGGCATGGGGGGCTGTCTCTTCTGTTGTCTCCCCCTCGGCTGCACAAAACCTTACGTGAACAACCACAAACCCTCTTGCTTATCACCTCTTGCAAATGTACACCGGGGTGCAGGGAATAGGAATGTGGGGGACAGGGAGGCAAGGCTTCGGGCCCACATGTCCAATCCCCACGCAGATTCTGCAGGACCACCACCCGTCTCCGGAATGTTCAACAGCTTCACTGTAGTGATGTGTCCTCACTAACTTACTTTCCATTATGAATCCCTTGTTGTTGGGAGTGAAGGGC